GTGGGATACGCTCAACGAGGCAACGTCGAGCTGGAATCGGCGATGCATCGCCCAAGAAAAGTCGCGTTCGGCGTTGCTCGGATTTCCTGGCCTTGGTTCCTGCTACCTTCCCCGCGCTCGTTGGTATTAGGTCATTGGTTGCCAAGCAAGACGCAACGCCAAGCAGCGAATGCAAATGGTAAGCAACGCGAAACAATGCCAGCGCACGACCCCAAGCAACGTCGAGCAAGTTTGAGCAACGCGCTATATTGCAGCGCGTTGCGTTGTTCAGAACTCCTTCAGATTGCGTTACGTTAAAAGCCTCTGCGATGCTCAGGACTGCTCTGATTTGCGCTGCGGTGCATTGCCCGGATCGGCGTCGCAGTCGCGACTGACTTACGTCGCCATGTTTTGTATTCGTTGTTTTGCTGATCGGCGTGGCCTTCGCCCCCCCATGGAGTAGATCAGGGCTGTGTTTGGTGACGGTTTCAAGCAGGTGGGATAGGTGGCAAATGATGGGAGCTTTCTTTTTCACCCAATGATGTTTTGCTTCCTGCTGCGTGATCATTTAGTGTGTACTAGTGCTGTCTAGTGTTGCGTAGCGTTGCTCGTGCACGCCGGTCGGTGCGCGCGCGGCATCGCAGTTGTGCGAGCAATGCCAGATTCTTAAGATCGGCCGTTACTTTTTTCAAAGTTCCTTTCGTCCTGTCCCTCCCGCAGGCGAGCTAAATTGCACTAGATTGTATTAGACGCAACTAAATTGCACTAGATTGCACTTGTGTGGGGCGCACTAAACGCCACGAGCTTGCACGAAATTCAATTAAATTGCGCCAGATTGCGCGAAATTGCACTAGACGCCACGAAATTGCACTAGACGCCACTAAATTGCACTAGATTGCACTAGCGTCTCCCGCCGCGCCATACTAAACGCCACTGAGTTGCGCTAGATTGCACTAGTGTGGGGCGCGCCAAACTTGCACTAAATTGCACTCAGTCGCACTAGGCGCCACTAAATTGCACTACGCGCCACTAGATTGCATTACATTTCACTAAATTGCACTAGCGCCTCCCGCCGAGCCACACTAAACGCCACGGGTCTCCTTTTCTACAAGAGTAGTGGATTACACCCCCACCCGAGGCCGGAGTTAACGGTCCCCCCCGCGATATGTAATGCGGATGTGATTATGACCCGTTGTCCACTTTACATATGAGGTCATACCATCTCAGCCCAACCGGTACCCAGTACCCGGGAAACGTCTACTTGCAAACGTCCGAACAACAAAAACATTCGTGTTTGCCGCGATGCCATGGATCGTGGATCCGCCTGCGGCGGGTGCGGGCCACTTGGATCCCCCTGCGGCGGGCGCGGGCCATTTGCGAACAGTTATTGTGCGAGCAGTGGAACGCGCTTGTCTGTCCTTCCTTCCAGTCCATGTCCATCCCAAGAGTACGGATGGGCAACCATCTTCCCAAAGGTACCCCTGTATCCTTGCGTCCTCGGCCCATCCTTGGCCACTTTCGCTGGCCGCGCCCCGCTCGCAAAGCTTCGAAGTGGTCTTCCAAGGCCCTTGCATCCTTATCGCGCATTCTTACTATACGGGTTGATGCCTGGGTTTGCGCCACAGCGCTGACCCCTTGGGGAACTGACGGTGATTGCGTGTTGCTCCTGAGGGCCTTTTGTGCGCCTTTGGGGGGATCTTGGAGCTCCCTCGGGGCTTCGTGGGGGCCTCTTCGGGGCCCTTTCGGGGCCTCTTGGGTTGACATTCTCGGCATTCGCCGCGCACGCATGGGGCAACGTGCGAGAGCCACCGCGTATCTTTACCATGCGGGTTGACTGCGCCCCTCGTGCCGCCCCTCCCGCCGGCACGGGCGGCCCCGCGGCGCCGAGGTCTGGCGGCCGCGGCGAGCTTCCGCGGGCCCGCCGCGCGGCCCTCAGACCGGGCTCTCGCTCGCTCGGCGGTCGAGGCTCGCGCGCCTGGGTCTCGACTGGGCGTTCGGAGTGACCTTTCGCTGGAGTGATCCCTGGTGCGGGCACAGGTGGGCCCCCAGATGGCTGAACGAGAAGCGGTGGCAGCGGCCTGCACGTTTGTTTCTGGTGCCCCCGCGGTGCCAAGAGGCCGCGCACCAAAGGTCACTCTTACCCAGGGTCACTCTTGCGTGTAGCCGACTGGGGCTCCCCCCCACCGCGCAGAGGTCGAGGGAGCTAAGAGGAGGGGGTGGGGGCGGGGGGAGCACCCGTGCGAGCGGAAAGTCCGACTCGGGCGAGCTGGCCCGGATGACGGTGCATCGGCAGCGGAAGCCGAAGCCAAAGCTGAAGTGCACAGAGAGATGGAGAGGGCCCACCTGGCAGGTTTGGTTGACAGCACATCGTGGAGCGGTGCTGCAGCCTCCCCTGAGCACAGGCCCCCCCAAGGAGCATCAGCCAGACAAGTCGGGTAGCTCAGAGGAGGGAGAAGCGACCGTCGGTCGTCGAAAGTGGAGAGTTCTGGGCCCCCAGATCCAAATTTACTCTAGGCTTTAGCCGCCTTCCTACTTCAAGAGTCGAGTGGTTTTCCCTCGTCCCTCCTCGTAAGGGGCTGGACGGCCAATCTACTTCCCAAGCCTTTCGACTTCATGGTTCTACCTACTTCTTCCGACCGACGGTTACCCATACCGCTACCCTTGCCTCGTTGTCCCCATTCTGGGCCTCCTGGGAGGCCCTCGTCGGCACCGCTGGATTCGCCTCGAAATCCTAGTCAGAACGCACCTCAGGAGAGGTCTGAGGAATTGCGAAATCGGTGCCTTCTGGTACCCGTTGGTTTCCCCAGAAACGGGCGCTGACTACACGCAAGGATGACCGACTCTGCCGGAGTGACCTTCTGCTGCACTCTCGGGCGTTTCGTGCGCGCGTTCTCGTCGGTCCGGGGGGTACTGCTGCCTCGGGATGCGCTCCAGCAGCTGCGCCTCGCCGAGACCGCTCCGGGGGTGCCCGAGCTGTCCGAAGGGCCGCCGGGGCCCCAAGAGGGCCCCCGGACGCCCCGTTTGAGCCTCCGAGGGGAGGGCCTGGGAGTTGCCTCTCCCCCCCACCCCATGTGGGCCGAGGTACGCTATGCCCCACAGGCCGAGCGGCCCCCGTCGGCGCAGCCGTGGGCGTCGGCGATCGCACGCTGCTCCGCGCCCCGTCGCGGAGACGAAGTTTTCATCCCGAGTCGGGAGGGAGAAAGGAGAAAGGAAAGGGGGTTGAGGGGTTGAGATGATGAACGAACAACACACACACACACCCATGCCCATAGGGAGGTCGGAGGGAGAAGGACTGGCTATGGGTATGGGTGTGGGTTGTCGGACCCCTGGGGAGGCTCCCGTTCGAGCGGGGACCCCCATCCGACAACACGCACCCATAGCTCATTCCGTCCACTATGGGTATGGGTGCGTGATGAACGTTCGTCAAGAGAACAGAAAGGAAAGGGGGTTGAGGGGTGATCGGAGCTCAATGGGAGCTGGTCGCACGGTTAACAGCGCCTCATGGGTTCGCCACCGCGGATTCTTTGGCCTCTTCGGGGGCCGTCCCCGAGTCGGAAGCAGAGGACCTGCGCGCGGCCGAGGAGGCGACCTCGCACGGGCCTGTTGTTCCTGGGCGGGGTGCTAGCCGTGCCACGAACGATTCAACCTACAGAGGGAAGTCATGCCAAGAAACACCCTGCTTGCCTCCAGGGTGCCCTGGGTTTCTTGGGTTTCGATGGTTCTGCTGTGGAAGGCGTGACGGGCCCATACCAACAGCCCACAGCAGTCCTGGGGTCTCATGCTTGGGTTCCTTGAGGACGGCTTCCTGTGGTCCGGCCTCCACCGTACAGTCAAGACGCTGAAGTATAAGGAGCGCTTCAGGCTCAGGAGGGGCTTGTTTCTTGAATTCAGAACCTGTTGGTGCATTCAAAAACTGTTATTCCAATTGAAAAAAACTGGTTTTGCGTTTTTTCCCATTCAAGAAACAATTTGTTCACCAGGGAAAAATACAAACAAACAACAAAAAAGTGTCCGGGCAGCCTGCTCGAGAGGCCGAGGCGCGCCCTGGCCAGAAGGGCCCCATTCGCTGCTTCTCCGGCGCTCTTCGCCTTGCAGGGCGATGGCTGCACCCTGAAGCCGGGCCTGTCCCTCTACAGGAGGAATATTTAAAAGTAGTCAAACCATAGCCTGGGGGCGACCATTTGGGTGCATTTGTGCTGCCTATGCTTTGTTTCTCTTCCGAAATCCACCTGTAGGGGGACATGCCCGACCTAACTGTACCCCCGACCACTCGGGCTGAGGGATGAGGAGGAGGCCCTTCGCCGGAGTGCTCTGGGCTCAGGATGTTTGTTCGCATTGGGCTCGGCAGGCTGTGCAGGGCTGCGTGCGATGGGCCGTCGGACTGGAGAGATGGAGTGCTTCGCGAGGAAGAAAACCGAGTGAGGGGGAGGAGGAGGAGGAGGAGGAGGAGGAGGAGGAGACGGAGACGGAGACGGAGACGGAGACGGAGGCGGAGGAGGAGGCGGAGGCGGAGGAGGCGGAGGAGGAGGAGGAGGAGGCGGAGGCGGAGGGGGAGGCGGAGGCGGAGGCGGAGGAGGAGGAGGAGGAGGAGGAGGAGGAGGAGGAGGAAAGAGAGAGAGAGAGAGAGAGAAAGAGAAAGAGAGAACACGAGAGAACGATATGTCGAGAGAAGCATATGATGAGGGGATTACCGTGAACAGACGAATCGCAAAAAAACAGCAAGCTCATAAAGATGAAGGACCGTCCCACTCGATAAAGACCGTATTTAAAAGATGAACGACGAGGTACTCCACAATCCCCTGGCCTCCTCCTCCTCCTCCTCCGCCTCCTCCTCCTCCTCCTGCTCCTCCTCCCCCCTCCTCCTCCTCCTCCCTCCCCTCCCCCTCCCCCTCCTCCTCCCCCTCCCTCCCAGGAGGAGGCACCGAGCCCACGGGCGCACCCTCGCCCCTGCCGCCGAGGCGCCGCCGCTCGGCGTGCTCCGCCCGGCGCCCGCCCCGGCCGCGCCCCGGCCGCGCGGGCCGCCGCCGTTTGGCGCGGCGGCCGCGCCCGCGGGCGCGCTGCGGCCGGCGGCCGTGTGGCTCCCAGGCCGCCGCCCGGATCGGCCTGCTGATCTTCAGGAGGGGAGAAAACACACAGACAATGAATCGTCGATTCCCCAGAAAGTATGGGAAAATATGGGCAGTGGGGGGGAAGACGAAAAGCCAGAAAATATGGGAAAGTATGGGGCCGCCGCCCGGATCAGTTCAGTTCAGTTCAGTTCACTATGGAGGCAGGTGTCAATGCCACCCGCCCCGAGCAACAAACGCAGCTTAGGACACGATACCTTGATCAGCCTCCGCTGGCAAAATCAAGCCATATCTTGAGAGGAGTTGAACAGGTGTCCACTTCTCCTCCCACAGGCTATCCACAAATTCACACGCCTCAGGCTCAGCCCCCCCTGAAAGCTGGACCCGGCCTGCTGATCTGGGCCTCCCAGCCTCGAGCAGTGAAGGGGCCCCAGGACACACAAATAGATACACACACAAAGAAAGATGTTCCCCCTATTTTCTCAGATCTTCTGGGTGTTTGTCTTCCCCCCCCACTGCCCATATCTTCCCATCTTTTCTGGGGAATCGACGTTTCATTGTGTCTGTGTGTTTTTTGTCCCTCCTGAAGCAGGAGGGGGTCGACCACAGGATCGGTCCACCCTGCAATCTCACCTTCCTCGCCGAATCGAGGGAGAGGCGCGCCGCGCCGCTCGAAGAAGGACGAGCAGCAGGAGCCGAAGCTCTCCGAGCTCCGCGCGGATTTTTGTGGCGTCGGCGCTGGCGCCACCCTGGCGGCGCCACGGGTGCCGCCCCTGGCGCGCTCCGGAGCCCGCTGCTCTCCGCGCCGACGTCGCCGATGCATCGCCAATGTATCGGCGATGCATCGGCGATGCTGCGCTGTCCTCCGACCCCATCTACTCCGGAGGGAAAGAAGCACACAGACACGAGCACACGTCGACTCCCAGGGAATATGGAAAATATTGGAAGCGGAGGGGATCAAGCGACGCGAAGATCGGAGCAAAATCGGATCGGGATAACTCGAAATCTCTGAGAATCGGCGGGTTTGGAGCATGTATTGGGCGCCGCGGCCGCTCCAGAGCGTTCCGGAACGCTCTGAGAGCGCTCTGGAACGCTCTGGAGCGATTTATCCCGATCCTAGCCCTGTTTTAGGGGAAGACGAAGATCCAGGAAATATGGAACAGATTGGGAATCCTTGGATTTGTGTCTACTTGCGTGTGTGTGTCCATGCCCAGACATCCGATGCTCTAATTTTTTCGATGCGTGGGCCCCAGAAGTCTGGACCACTTCCCCAGGCTTGGTTTTTCGTCAGGAGTCCTTGTTGGACGGACCCAGGACCCGGCGAGGGACCCCAGAGGCCAAAAATGGCAAAAACCCGTCGTTCCACTTCTTGTTGGATCGTCGGATCTCTGGGTGGGCCCTCTTCTTTGCTCCGACCACCGTGGCAGGCAACGATGTGGCTGTTTCGGTCCAGGCGTCTCTGCCACAGTCGGCCTTGATTAGTAGGTCGACCCTGCCAGGTCAAGGGTACCCTTGTGCCCTGTCTTTAGAGACCTGTGCCTTTTGCAGTCCTGTGGCGCTGTAGCCCTTGGAAGGGTCTCGTGTCTCGAGGCCTCCCAGATGGGGTCAGAGTAGATGGGGTCGGAGGACCGCGTTGCATCGCCGATGCATCGGCGATGCATCGGCGGTGCATGGGTGATGCGGCTCGACATGGAGTCCGATGTTCTCCACGCCGACGTCGCCGACGCGTCGTCGACAACTCCGATGCGTCGGCGATGCGGCGCGATCCTCCGACCCACCTACTCGGACCCTATCTAGGAGGCTTCTGGTGTCCTCTCGCGTGCCCTCGCCAATCCAGCCCGACTGCAGAGATCGGCCCTCGGGGGCCGGTCTCCGGCACCCTGGGGCTGTCAACCAGCGGTCCCGGCGCTCGTCCTGACGGCCTCGGTCCTCCGGGGGCCGCGCTCGGGCCCCGGGCCATCAACCCCATGAGTTGCCTCGAGCCTCCTCGTGACCCAGAAGGGGGTCCAGCTGAAAGGCGGTGGTGCAAAAAAACCCAGGATTGCAAAAAAACCCAAGGATTGCAAAAAAACCCGAAGGATTGCAAAAAAACCCTGGGTTTTTTTGCAATCCTGGGTTTTTTTGCAATCCTGGGTTTTTTTGCAATCCTGGGTTTTTTTGCAATCCTGGGTTTTTTTGCAATCCTCAGTTTTGGGGCAATGGTTTTGCACATGCATTGCGCCAGAGAGTTCTATCGCTTTGTACCTGGACCCCCTCTCGGGTCAGCCAGAGAGACGCCCGCCTTGAAACGCAACGCGCACCGTGCTCAAAGCTTCCGGGCCAGTTCGTTGCGTGCTGTCTCAGCGTGTGGGTCCACGTATTCACGAACGTATCGCGTCATTGCTGCGTTTTCAGTCTACTCGTTGAGCTCCATATCAATGCGCTTCGTGTTGCGTGATGGGCACGGGGATTCCTAAGCCAAGAACGGATCCGAGGATATCTGGCGATCTGGTTCAAGACGCTTCGCGTTCACCGCCCGCCCATCTCAGTTCTCGCCTGAAGAGGCGAAGGCGGCTCCAAGACGGGATGCAATCATCTTGGAGACAGTCAGAGACGGCGCCGTAGGCGTGCTTTGTTGTACTTTTTCTTTCGATCCATTTCGCATCCACCCCATCGCCGATTGAATTCACTTCTGCTGCGTGGCTGATCCATCGATCGGTCTGCTGAAGCTCCAGACTCTTCCGACGAGTCGATGTCTTCAATGCCGGCGTTCTTCCTGAAGTTCGGGCCTCGGGTCAGGAGCGAAAGAAGGACGTACACGTACATGAATCCACGCTGTTTTCGAGATTTCGCATTGCGCGAATACGCGTATCACGCGGCCGGTCTCGCGGGTCAAGGGGCCGTGTTCATGTACATAGCTGGGCGCGTATACGTCCTTTGTGGGCTCCCTATCGGGGGCCGTCTTCGGTCCCCGGGGCCAGCAGCCAGCTCGACAGGACAACTGCCCCCGGGGGGCAGGGACCGAGGCCTCTGGGGACTGCGGACTGCCAAGCGTCGGGTCGGCGGGACGCCCGGGGGCGCCGGGCCTCCCGAGCTCGGAGGAGGGCCACCGTCGAGGCAGCAGCGGCCCCTCCGGGGGGGCTTCTCGGCCCCTCGGAGCTTCTTTCCTGGGGAGGGGCCCTCGTCGCCACGGCGGAGTCCGCGCCCTCGAACAGTCGGGGGCGGCCAGGGGGGGGGGAGGACTAGGGGGGGGGGGGAGATCATGACGCCCCCCTCTCATGGCCGCCCCCGAAAGGAGGGGCCAGGACGGACCTCGGGGGCTCCGTCGACGGATTTTGAACGGCTTCGGGCCAGGCGGGAGAGCCGCCGTTATCTCAACTGGCGCGCTCCTCCGCTTGAAGGCTGCCCTGCGGGGGCCAGAGCAGACGTGGTCGGAGGATCGCGTGGCATTGCAGATGCAGCGGCGACGCGGCGCGAGTCGGAGCCCGTGCTTCTCCGTCCCGCTGTCGCAGATGCATCGCCGATGCTTCGGCGATGCGGCGCTGCCTTCCGACACCAGATGGTCCAGCGCTGTGTGTGGAGGTCTCCAAGACGCCCTGCCCCCGCCCATCGAGGAAAAGCAACAGCGTAAACATACGTAAGATGCTCGGAGGTCCGGGTCGACTTTGGACCCCCCCTGGCGCCGGGGAAGCTTGGCGTCTTGAGCCAAGATTGGCCACGGAGAGGGGGGAGCAGGAGGGGGAGGGGGAGGGGCAGGGGGAGGAGGAGGACGAGGAGGACGAGGAGGACGAGGAAGAGGAGGACGAGGACGAGGAGGAGGACGAGGAGGAGGAGGAGGAGGAGGAGGACGAGGAGGTGGACGAGGAGGAGGACGAGGAGGAGGAGGAGGGGGGGGAGGAGGAGCCGAATGTGAAGCGGAGAGGGATCACGCGGAGAAGAGATTTGCGGCGCCTCTGGCTCCGCCCTCTGGCGCACTCGGCGCGCCAGGGAGGTGGCACGGCGGAATCCAAGACATCCCCAAGCAGTGCGTGCAGTTGTTTTTATTGTAGACGCTTCGCGTAACCCCACCAGTTTAGTCGCGGCCGCGGCCCGCCCGCGACCTCCCGCCGCTGGCGCTTCCGCCTGCGGCTGTAAAAAACAAAAAAATAACCCCACCAGTGCCGCCTGCCCCGGACTTTGCCTCTCGCCGCCAGACCGTTGTCGCGCGGCCGCAACCGAAAAAGTACCTCCTCCTCCCCCTCCTCCCCCTCCTCCTCCTCCTTATCCCCTCGCCTCTTCCTCCTCAGACGCCCTGAAGCAGAGGATTGGACGCAGAGCATCCATACATACTTACTTCCAGCGACCGATGAGTAGTCAGCATCCCTGTCCAGGCTGCCCCCGAACCCCACCCATTGGGATCGCTCCGGGCGGAGGCGACAGCCACGGGCGGCGGCGGCGAAGACGACGGTGAGGACGACGAGGCCGAAAGCAACGATGTCCAGGTGAGCTGTCTTGATCAGGGATTTGGAGAAGCGTGCAGTGGATAGCGGGCTGGGGAAGGTGTCATTGCCCAAGAGGAGCAGGATGAAAGAGGAATCGGATGAGGAGGAGGAGGAGGAGGAGGAGGAGGAGGAGGGAAGAGGGGGAGTGGGAGGGTAAAAAGGGAGGGAGGAGGAGGATACACAGGCGCAGAAGGAGGAGGAGGAGGAGGAGGATGAGGAGGAGGAGGAGGAGGAGGAGGAGGGCGAGCAGAATGGCCAGAGGTCTCTTGGATGCCTTTCGGAGTCTCCTCGGACGTCTCTTGCAAGTTTCTTCGGGTCCTTTTGGCGTGTTTGAGGTCCTCTTGGCGGTCCTTGGGGCCGTCTTGGAGCGTCTTGGGTGCCTCGGGGTACCCTCTTGGGGCCTCTTGGGGGCCTCCTGGGCGCCTCTTGGGGCACTCTTGGGAGCCTCTGGGGCCATCTTGGTTCCACCTCGGAGGAGATCGATCAAAGAAGGGGGGGCTAAATTAGAGCCCCCCAGGGTGTCAAAATGGGCCCAGAATGAATGGGAAATCCATGAGTTGTGTCTTCTAGCCGCGGCCGCCTCAGACGCTCCAATCGGTCGCGAAACCTCCCTTGTAGGTTCAGGCGAGGGGGTCGGGGGAGGGGTGAACCCCTCCCCGAAGGTGCAGAAGGGAGTTGGAAGAGGAAACGCTCTAGGCAGCCTGCGCCCTATAAAGGCTGGTGGGATTCTCTTGCGCAGCTGTGCTCTGGAGCTCCGACATCTTTACGTTCGCTCGCTGTTCGTTGGTTCGCTCGTGCCCCCCCCGCTCCTGGCCTTCATGGGGACCGTCCGGGGAGCAGATCTGGGAGGCCTCTGGGCCTCTCCGCTCCTGTTTCGCCTCCCCATCAGAGGAGCACGAGACGCAGGCCTCTGAGTACCGTCCAGAGCAGCGTCTGTGGGGGGGGGGGGCTCTGGGGAGGACCGCCCAGGGAGAGGCCTCCGAGGGTGGGTGCCTTTTGGGGCGTCCCTTCCCCGGCCCCCGCCCCCCGCTCCCGTCCTGCTTCTCTTCGGGGCAGCAGAAAGGGGGGGGGGACCCCCCCGCTGCTGTCGTTTTTCCCCTCCGGGCAGCCTGTCAATGTGCCCTCCCCCCACGCCCCACCCCCCCTCCGCTCCTGTCCTGCCTCCCCACGGGGGAAGCAGGAGGTGGGAGCTGAGCTGAGGGGCGCTGTGTCTGGAGGAGCCTCTCGCGGGCCTCGGCCTCCGGGGGACAGCCCAGGGCACGCAGAGGCCTCCGAGGGCTCCCCCCCCCGCTCCTGTCCTGCCGCCTCCCCTCCGGGGAGCCGGAGGGGAGACCTGTGCGTACTGTCCAGGGGTGGGCCCCTGGAGGGCTTCTGGAGGGCCTGGGCCGCCCCCGATGCTCCCCCGAGCTTTGCTTAGCTATCCTGTGCAGCTGTGTTCTAGAGCTCGGAGCGTTCTGTTTCCGTCGTCGTTTGTGCGCTCGCTCGTCGCCCCCCCGGGCGTGCCTGCCCCCTGCCTCGCCATGATGGTCACGATGGCCCCGGGAGAGCACCAGGACGGCCCCGAGAACTCCCCTCCCCCCCCCTCCTCACCCCGCCCCGCCTGGCCCCCGCCCCCCCCCTCGTGTGCAGGAGAGCCTGGAGCGTGCGTGCCACGTGTTTTTTGTTTTTGCCTGCGGAATCTGGAGTCTGCCCAGGTCTCGCCCGGTGGGCGGCCGTGGGCGCCTCGTGGGCGCCCCGTGCGCTGGGTGGGTTCCTCCTCCTCCTCCCTCGTCCTCCTCCTCTCCTCCTCCTCCTCCTCCTCCTCTCCTCCTCCTCCTCCTCCTCCTCCTCCTCCTCCTCTCCTCCTCCTCCTCCCTCCTGCCTCCTCCTCCTCCTCCTCTCCCTCCTCTCCTCCTCCTCCTCCTCCTCCTCCTCCTCCTCTCCTCCTCCCTCCTCCTCCTCTCTCCTCTCTCCTCCTCTCCTCCTCCTCCTCCTCCTCCTCCACTCCTCCTCCTCGCTCCTCCTCCTCTCTCCCTCCTCCTCCTCCTCCTCCTTCCTCCTCCTCCCCCTCCTCCCTCCTCTCCTCCCTCCTCCCCCTCCTCCTCCTCCTCCTCCTCCTCCTCCTCCTCCTCCTCCTCCTCTCCTCTCCTCCTCCTCCTCCTCCTCCTCCTCCTCCTCCTCCTCTCCTCCTCCTCCCCTCCTCCTCTCCTCCTCCTCCTCCTCCTCCTCCTCCTCCTCCTCCTCTCTCCCTCCTCCTCCTCCTCCTCCTCCTCCTCCTCCTCCTCCTCCTCCTCCTCCTCCTGCCGAAGTTCCGCCCTGTGGGCGCCCTCGTGGGGGTCTCGTGGGCGCCCCTGGCGCTGGGCGGGTCTGCCGAGGTCCCGCCCTCGTGTGCGCCCTTGTGGGCGCCCCGTGGCGCTGGCCGCAGAGCTTGCACCGCAGAGCTTGCGCAGGCCTGGCTCATGCACTGTTTCGGGTATAGCCAGGACCCCGGGTAAGGGGACCTGGTTAGTGGTAGGGCCCTGGGGCCCTTCAATTGGCCAGAATCACTAAACCAGGTTTGCCGTAACTGGTGTTTTTCGGGTGACGGCAGTTCCGGTTAGTGGAAATGGGACGGGGTGGGCGCCCCCGGTACAGTTCACTAAACCGGGTCCCGCTAAACGCAGTTCTGCCAGGGCCAACGCCCGACTGTTATCATGATGATGATATGAACGCTGCGCTTCGCTTGGCACTCGAAGGAGCGGTGGCAGACCGCCGCTGCTAGCACTGGCCCAGTAGGGGCTGACTTGATGGGCCCCCGCGGGAGCCTACAGACCGTGCGCCCTCTCGCGATTGAGGCAGGGTGTGTGTGTGTGGGGTCAGTGTGAGACACAAAAGTTGCACCACGTAGATTGTACCCAAAGAACTTGGTCCACATAGCTTACCACATAGCGTGCACGCACAGCTTGCACCATATCGTTGTCACCACACAGCTTACGACACAGCATAGCGCACAGCTTTCACCACACGCAATGCATCGCTTAGAGAACACCACGTGGCTTATGCTACATGGCTTAGACCGCCTGACTGACACCAGACCATGCAACCTACACCGCATCTAGTGCACCATCTAGGTTGCACATCCAGAGGGCAATAACGCATTCTCCAGTGACCATCCTGGTATACAATAGTACAACATTGCATACATAAGCATGATTGCTTCTATGTGTTTCATACATATCGACTTGCACATACATACAATGGCCTTCGGCACATCGCTCGCTTCGTGTGGTCTCTTTGGATACTTTTCGGGGGCCTCTTTGGAGGCATCTCGGATGCCTCTTGGAGGCCTCTTGGAGCCCTCATGGAGGTGTTTCGGGGCTTCCTGGTGCCTCTAAGTGCCTACTGGCGATCTCGGGGGCCGCATTGGCAAACGAGGGCGCGTGAGGCCTGTTCGGGCGGCGCGCCAAATCCACTGATACACATCAAGGAATCACACGCCACGCCAACAAGACATCCAGCACTTGGTGGCCTCAGCCACTGAGAGGGTGATCTAAACTATTCCACACTGTGACCTCGGGTGGTCCTCAGAACACTCTACTCAGTGCCTTGCGTTGATTGGGCTGGCCCCCAGGAGAGCCCAGTGCCTGTAGGCTGGGGTCACCGAGTTTTCCCAGCGGCCCACGCTCCACACGCCAAACGCGCCCGCGAGCGCCTGGGAAATCCAAACCAGTTGTGCTTCTCCCAACACGTTTGTATGCGTTGTGCGGCACCCCTCTACGTGTTGCAGGTCCGATGGCGCAAGTGAGGGAGTGGAGATGAGTAACATCATGTGAGGGAATTCGGGAAGGCACAAGACTGACGAGTGCAGCGAGAACAGAAAGCATACGGAGGGCAGGGGGGAAATAAGGGAGTGCGGGAGCTGCCCAGAGAAATGAGACATTGTATTCTCCCGCGTCCCAAGGCACTCAGAGGTTGAGGGAAAATGCATTGGGAAGGGTGGGCCGTCGCTTAGGGGTCATACGATTTGGGGGTGTACGCCTCGCGTCGTGTAGTATGACATGTAGAAGGGATTGGTTGGCAAGGGTACCCTATCACTTTTGCAGTGGGATGGTCAGTGCTACATAGCTGACGGTGTGTTTCGCATTGGCTCCTCAATACGTCAGGCTAGTACCATCCGATGGTGCAGCCAGGAGGACTGCTCCTGACTGGGAGGTCCAGAACGTTTCGGAGTGCACATGTATCCGCATCGCGAGCACCATCCTATAGGATCAGTTTTGAGCGGCAATCCTTGGGAGAGTAGCTGTTTGTTTACCCACCATATGCCTGACTTTAGGAGTTCCCACGCCCACAAAAGCAGCAGAAACACCAGAAGCACGAGCAGGAGTAGAGAAAAAAGGACGCAGGAGTTGAGGGAGGGTGGGGAGTGTAGCAGCACGGCAGACGGTAGGGTCGTGTCGTGCCGATGCGGCAGCAGCTCCAGCGCGGGCACATTCAAGGTGGAACGCCGGCAGTGGCCCAGATTTTGCAGATTGCGCACTAGTTGCGCTACGGGAGAAGCCGTCACGTTCAAAATATTGAATGGCCCACGCGGTGCCAGAAACCAACGCCGACGTCGCCAGGATACGAACTTGCCGTAGGTAGCCTGAGGTCGGGCACGTCCTCTTACAGGCGGATTTGGGGGGAAGAATCAAAAACTAGTTAGAACAGATTCAAGAATTATCAACAATTGTTGGAACATCGCCCCTACATGATTTTCACTATTTGGGAATACTCCTCCTGTAGAGGGACATGCCCGAGTTAAAGGTCGCCTAAAGTCGGGCCTGTCCCTCCACAGGAGGAAAACCCAAAACTGGTCAAACATAGTCTGGGGACGATTCTTGTTTCTAGGGGGGGCATGTCTTGACTTTTCTCTTACTGTCGTCCAACGTCCTCTCCTAGGGGGACATGCCCGACCTGAAGGCAGCCGCTGCCTTAGACCAGCGAGGGGGCACGCCCGCGGCGCCAGGCGCCCCGCCCACGGCACGCTGCGCCTGGGCAGGGCCGCTGCTGGCTCGCCCGGTGCCCAGCCCGCGGCACGCGGGCAGCCCAGGAGGGCTTCCAAAGGGAGGGCATCGACAGCAGGCGTAGCCTTAAGTCGGGCCTGTCCCCCTGCAGGGGGATTTTCGATGACAAATAGAAAAATACACCAAAAATGCCCCAAGAAGACCCAAAAATGCTCAAATCATCCCCAGACTTGTTTGTATTGTTGTTTGATTATTTTGGGGGTGTTTTTTATTGTTCGTCGAAAATCTCCCTGTAGGGGGACAGGCCCGACATAAGCGTAGCCCCCTTTGCGTGGGGGGGGGGGGGGCGGCCGCGCGCAGGGGGGGATCATGGGGGGGGGGGGGCAGGGGCGCGGCTTCTCAGAAGCACCCCCTGCTTCCTAGAAGGCGCGGGCCTCGTCTGCAGATGTAGGGCCGGCGCCTTCTGAGAAGCAGTGGTGTTTCTAAGGAACTTTCTCTGAGGGCATCTAAAGAAGGCGCGGCCCCGTCGTTCGGAGAAGACAACACGCTATACACATGATTGTTTGGCTCTCCGCGCGGATTCCTTGGATTCGCGCTGGGTCCTCCTGGCGGCGCCTCCGGCGCCGCCCCTGGCGCAGATCCAAGAATAGGGGGCCACATGCGACCCCTACCCCTACCCCCCACGATTTCTTAGGGGGAGGGTGGGGTTCACTTCGCTCGGGGGGTAGGGATAGGGTTAGGGGTAGGGTTCGCATAAATCGTGGGGGGTAGGGGTAGGTTCGCATGTGGCCCCCTAGTGGGGCGCCCGCGCGCAGGGGAGGGGGGTAATGGGGGGGCAGGGGGGCGGCTTCTCAGAAGCACCCCTGCTTACCAGAAGGCGCGGGCCTCGTCTGCAGATGCAGGGCCGGCGCCTTCTAAGAAGCAGTGGTGCTTCTGAGGAGCTTTCTCTGAGGGCATCGAAAGAAGGCGCGGGCCCGTCGTTCGAAGAAGAAAACACGCTATACACATAATTTGTCCCAACCATCCTGTGGTGTTGGGTCCTCGTTTTGAAGGGCCAGCGCCCCGCGTCCCACCTCCTCCTCCTCTCCTCCTCCTCCTCCCCCATTGGGGGTGTTCGCATGCGTCCCCCCCACCCAGGGCAGCGTTTCGTGGCCCCCAGGGAGCTCCACCGAAGGCTCCCGTGGGGTGTTCGCATGCGCCCCCCCAACCCAGGGCAGCGTTTCGTGGCCCCATACGGAACTCCACCGAAGGCCCCATTGGGGGTGTTCGCGTGCGTCCCCCCCGCCCAGGACAGAGCTTCGTGGCCCCACAGGAAGCTCCACCGAAGGCTCCCGTGGGGGTGTTCGCGTGCGTGCCCCCCGCCCAGGGCAGCGCTTCGTGGCCCCACAAGGAGCTCCACCGAAGGCTCCCCATGGGGGTGTTCGCATGCGCCCCCCCCCACCCAGGGCAACGTTTCGTGGCCCCACAGGGAGCTCCACCGAAGGCCTCATTGTGGGTGTTCGCATGCGCCCCCCCCCACCCAGGACAGCGTTTCGTGGCCCCACCGGGAGCTCCACCGAAGGGTCCCCAAGGGGTGTTCGCACGCGTCCCCCCCACCCAGGGCAGCGGACAGCGTTTCGCGGCCCCACAGGGAGCTCGACCGAAGGCTCCCGTGGGGGTGTTCGCATGCGCCCCCCCCACCCAGGCTCCACCGAAGGCCCCATTGGCACAGTTCGCATGCGCCCTCCCCGCCCAGGACAGCGCTTCGTGGCCCCATAGGGATCTCCACCGAAGGCTCACGTGGGAGTGTTCGCATGCGTCCCCCCCGCCCAGGGCAGCGCTTCGTGGCCCCATACGGAGCACCACTGAAGGCCCCATTGGGGGTGTTCGCATGCGCCCCCCCCACCCGGGACAGCGCTTTGTGGCCCCACAGAGAGCTCCACCGAAGGTTCCCATGGGGGTGTTCGTATGCGTCCCCCCTGCCCAGGGCAGCGTTTCGTGGCCCCATACGGAAGGCCTCATTGGAGGTGTTCGCATGCGTCCCCCCCACCCAGGACAGCGTTTCGTGGCCCCACAGGGAGCTCCACCGAAGGTTCCCGTGGGTGTGTTTGCATGCGCCCCCCCCCAACCCAGGGCAGCGTTTCGTGGCCCCATAGGGAGCTCCACCGAAGGCCCCAGTGGCACAGTTCGCATGCGTCCTCCCCGCCCACCGCAGGCCCATTTCGGCGCAGCCCTCACACGGGTCGTGGCCCTATAGGGAGCTCCACCGAAGGCCTCACTGGCGCAGTTCGCATGCGTCTTCCCCGCCAGCCGCATGCCCATTTCGGCACACCCCTCACACGGTTCGTGGCCCCATAGGGAGCTCCACCGAACGCCCCGGTGGCACAGTTCGCATGTGTCCTCCCCGCCCACCGCAGGCCCATTTCGGCGCACCATTCGCACGGTTCGTGGCCCCACATGGAGCTCCACCGAACGCCCCAGTGGCGCAGTTCGCATGCGTCCCCCCGCCCACCGCATGCCCATTTCGGCACACCCAGGGCGGCGCTTCGTGGCCCCATAGGAAACTCCACCGAAGGCCCCAGTGGCACAGTTCGCATGCGTCCTCCCCGCCCACCACAGGCCCATTCGGCGCACCCCTCACACGGTTCGTGGCCCCATGGGGAGCTCCACCGAAGGCCCCAGTGGCGCAGTTCGCATGCGTCTTCCCCGCCCACAGTATGCCCAGTTCGGCACACCCCTCACACGGTTCGTGGCCCCATAGGGAACTCCACCGAACGCCCCAGTGGCACAGTTCGCATGCGTCCTCCCCGCCCACCGCAGGCCCATGTCGGCGCACCCCTTACACGGTTCGTGGCCCCTCAGGGAGCTCCACCGAACGCCCCAGCGGCAGTTCGCATGCGTCCTCCCCTCCCCCCCACCGCAGGCCCACTTTGGCACACCCCTCACACAGTTCGTGTCCCCATAAGGAAACTCCACCGAAGGCCCCAGTGGCGCAGTTCGCACGCGTCCTCCCCGCCCACAGTATGCCCAGTTCGGCACACCCCTCACACAGTTCGTGGCCCCACAGTGAGCTCCACCGAAGGCCCCAGTGGCGCAGTTCGCATGCGTCCTCCCAGCCCACCGGATGCCCATTTCGGTACACCCCTCACACAGTTCGTGGCCCCACAGTGAGCTCCACCGAAGGCCCCAGTGGCGCAGTTCGCATGCGTCCATCCGCCCACCGCAGGCCCACTTTGGCACACCCCTCACACAGTTCGTGGCCCCACAGTGAGCTCCACCGAAGGCCCCAGTGGCGCAGTTCGCATGCGTCCTCCCCGCCCACCGCAGGCCCATTTCGGCGCACCCCTCACACGGTTCGTGGCCCCACATGGAGCTCCACCGAAGGCCCCAGTGGCGCAGTTCGCATGCGTCCTCCCCGCCCACAGTATGCCCAGTTCGGCACGCCCTCACACGGTTCGTCGCCCCATAGGGAGCTCCACCGAAGTCCCCAGTGGCACAGTTCGCATGCGTCCTCCCCGCCCACCGCAGGCCCGTTTCGGTGCACCCGTCACACGGTTCGTGGCCCCATAGGGAGTTCCACCGAAGGCCCCAGTGGCGCAGTGCGCATGCCATTCCCTCACCCAGTACAGCGCTTCGTGGCCCCATATGGAGCCCCACCGAAGGTCCCCGTGTCGCAGTCCGCATTGTGTTGTTCGTTTTCGCTCGCGTTGTGTACCACGCCACTCATTTCGGCACACCCCTAACACGATTCGTTGCCTCATAAAGATCACCACCGAAAAAGTGAATCACAATTGCGGTACTCACACCTGCATATGGTTGGGTCTTTCGTCAGGCTAATTTGGCTCTCCGCGCGGATTCCTTGGATTCGCGCCGGGCCCTCCCGGCGGCGCCCTCGGCGCCGCCCCTGGCGCACTCCGCGCGCCAGGAAGGGGGGTCCGGCGCAGATCCAAGAAATCCGTGAGGAGCACCAAAAGGTTATGCTTATGCAGTTGGTTCTTCCGCGGCGCGGAGAGACGTCGCGACAGGATGCTACCCTGAAGCCGGATGCACATGACGCGGCCTGCCAGTGCAGGAGGAGCTGGACATGCATGCTCCCGCATGTCTTGAGAGCCTTAGGCTATATGGCCGGGTACGCCAGCCGGCTGCAGCAGCTTCTTGGCGCACCAGGTTCTTGGCGCACCCGGTGTCAAAAAAAGAATTCTTTTGGTGAGGCCCGTCATTGATCAGTTTCCCGCTTGGCAGGGGAGTTTGGTATTTGTTTGTTTGGCACTGTTAACTGCCGTCTTTGATGAGATGTGTTCGCAGTTTCTGGACCTCGCGTCAGCACGTATCGCGGCGTTTGGTGACCCGAGGTATGTTTTGGGCGGCGCCAAATGTGGGAGTCCGTGACACCCCTCTGGAGACTGGGACCGCCCCAGGAAGGCCCAACCTGCGCGAGTCGGCCAGCGGCTCTTGGGCTCCCGGCGCCGGCAGCCACGCGGCTGGCCGCGAGACGCTCCACGCCGCGCCCGAGGTCTTCCACGTCGTGCCGGACCTCCCCGTTCCAGCCGCGCAGTGTGCGGGGCAGCACGGCGTGCCCGAGCCGGGGCTGGAGCACCGCCCGCACCTGCGCCCCATCCGCGCCTGGCTGCACGTGCCCGGCGTCGCGCCGCAGGTGCCGGAGCGCCCGTTTGGCTGCGGGCCGCTTGAGCCCTCGCCGCCGAGGCATGCCGTGCGAGCCGTCGGGCTGCCTGCCCACGGGCAGGCGCTCCCCGCCCGGTTCGCCAGGGCCTGACCGTTACGGTCGGACCGAGGCGGCTGGGTCGCGGCTGTGGGCTTGGTCTATCAGAGGCGACGATACGGGCGAATAGCCCAGGAGAAAGCAATACACGTATTCAGGTGCGCCGATGATCTATGTCTTCGAAGAGGCTCCCGGGCGAATGCGTGTAATGCCCGCCCCTGGGCTAGTCGCCCCTATCGTAGCCTTCGGGTCAAGCTCGCACGGATGGACCACGCGTTGAGTTTGACGCCGACGTGTGTTGTGAGGACAATGCTGGAGGCCTCGCGCGGCGCTTAGGAGTAGTACGATCCAGTCCACTCCTCAGTTCCGTAAGCAATGGGTCGACGCTCGCGCGGCGATGCTCCGGAGAAAGTTAGACGTAAATCCGACGTAGTCCGACGTGAACCCGTGAACCCGACGTAAATCCGACGTGGATCCGACGCAAATCGGGTCTAGAGATGCCGCGCGAGGTCTCCAGGATTTTCCTCATAACGTGTGAGCGCGGTAGGAGGATCGTCCCGAGGAGCTGGCAGCGCGCGACAATCAATGAGCGCGACTGGCCTTGATCTTGGCACGTGCTGACAATACATGAGCGCGCGTGGCCTAGGTCTTGGCAGTTGGAGCCGCGGAAGTCGGGTGCGGAATTAGAAGGGTCTGGCAATTGGCCTGCCTCTCTCTGTTGCATAGAACGGCAAGAAGGAGGAGGAAGGAGGGGAACCACAGAGATTCGCAGTGGCATTTTTGTTTGTTTGAGCCGAGCAAGTGGTACATTGGTTGCTCTGCTCCCATCAACACATAAGTATCCTAGCACCGAGCGATTGGTGCATGGGTTGTCGGGATGAGCACGTATGCCTCCCGCAATCTTGGATTCAAGCCAATGTTAAACAATCGCGTCGCAGGACGTTCATCAGAATTCCGCAGCACGTGTCAGGCTAGCCTTTTTGTACAGGAATAAAGATTTGCATGACCAGCGAATTTGTTCATTGTCGGCTAGTTGCGAACCTGGTGGACGTTCGAGCCACAAACGTGTGTCACGGTCTAAAGCGTCTATATAATTCATCGCATGTCCTACCCCACAACGTGAGAGTTGATCTCGTGACCGTTCCGCTTGTCTCTCTCGTCGAGGTCGCACATGTGTTAATGCCATTCACGTTGTTCCAGTCTATTGGTGCATACACCAGTTCCTTATTCGTACGAGTCCACCTCTGCCAATTACGACCCACTGGCGTCGAGGTGAGGCGCATGCAGAGTTCCAGAGATCATGTGGATCCGATTGGCCAGTTTCGTGGCTCAGTGCTATCTAGAACATATGCGTAGCTGTCACATGTTTCATTGTTTTTCGATGGCAACGTTGCGCGAGAGCACAGTTTAGGCACAGCAATTCAAGGCGTGGCGCAAGCACGCTGTCTGAGTTTGTATCACATTGCACTCTCGTGATCGTCATCGTCCCACTGCCTTGACATCTCGCTCCTTCATGCCGCCCAGCGGCATGTTTCCATATACCAAGTAGAGTTCTGGCTGGGAAGCTATGACCGGCCTTGCACACGCAAGCGGCGCGTCGTAGGCATTCAAAGCTGGAGAACGCGAGAGGCCGGGCCAGATCCACGCACACACACCCGCACACACGCACACACACACACACACGCCTTGTTTGGCGGGTCGCGCCCACGCGCGCGGCGGCGCGGCGTAGAATCCGGCCTTGCACACACACACACACACACACGCACATACGTTGGCCTCGCGGCCACGCGGCAGCAACGCGGCCGACGGCATCGTGCCGGCACCGTCGAGAGTATTGGGGCGGGGCACGCGTACTTCAACTCCACCTGGCGTTGCGGGTGGCGGGGCTGCACAGGGCGTGTCGCGCTACGTGGGCGCGCACACGCACACGCGCGCACGCACACAGGCGCACACCCACACACACACACACACACACACACACTTTTTGGCGTCAAGGCCACTCGCTCAGCGGCGCGGCGTGGAGCAGGTCGGGCGAGAGGCGCGCGCAGGCCGGCGCAGAGCACGCGGCGTGGAGATACACACGCACACCCACCCACACACCCTCAGGCGCCACCTCCTCCTCCTCCTCCTCCTCCTCCTCCTCCCTCCTCCTCCTCCTCCTCCTCCTCCTCCTCCTCCTCCCCTCCCCCTCCTCCTCCTCCTCCTCCTCCTCCTCCCTCCTCCTCCTTCCTCCTCCTCCTCCTCCTCCTCCTCCTCCTCCTCCTCCTCCTCCTACATACACCATGCATGTGTTGCACACCGCAGGCGCCACCGTCGCAGGCGTCAAAGGCAGGAGGTCGTGGGCACAGGGCACGCGAGCGCGGCCCGATTCGTTGCTCGCTGCCGTAGCCTTGGTGCACGTCGTTGCTATCCAGCAGCGACCAGCACGCGGAGGAAGCTGTGCTATCCACCACGCAGATCTTCGAGGGAGGTACGCACCAGCATTGCAGTTCTGGGGGGGGCAGAGAGTGCAAGCAGCAAGGCATATCCCAGCAATGTCGACCTTGCAAACCAAGTTCAGGAGGACTTGTCCGCGACGGAGATCAGCGCAGAATGAAGATTGGGCCGTCCGCAGTCAGCTTGTTTGCGGCGCCCGTCGTTTTGCAACAAGCGTTGAATAGCTCTCACACAACAGCTCACCGATCATAAGCATTGCAATATCACATGCGTTGGCGATTTGTGTGCCGCCGTTTCAGGCAAAGTGGACATAGGCAACGGCGAGCTCAGCTTGAACAGGAAAACGCGAATCCAAAGCCAAGCCAGCAGCGCAGCGTAGCGTGGCCCACCAGCCAACGATGCGACTTTGCAAGCGCAGTCTAGTCCAGCAAATTGACGCCAGGAAGCAAAATCCTCTCTGGCGTCAAACTGAACTGAACGTGAATCGAACGAGCAAGACGACGATTGCCCACCCCAACTCGCTTGGAGTACAGCACAAACCTCATCATCGCAGGGCTCCAGTATTCAGACGTATCGTTGCCGCGTCCACTCCCCGAGATGGAATCAGATATTCCATCGCAACCTACGTAAGGCGGGCACAGGCAAGTGTGCTGATCATTCTTGACGCTTCGCGTATCCCCACCAGTCGCTCTTAGTCTCGCGCGTTGCTAATTTGATAGGCCGTGGCCCGGACCTTTCAACTCGGCGCCTGCGCTTCCGCTTACGCCCGCGACAAAAAAAGTATCCCCACCAGCCCATCCAAAAACGATGCCCATGAGAGCTGACGAGACACGCATAATCAAACAGCGAGGGAGGCCAGCCTGGACAGCGTGTTGGGGCCATATCCGGGCCTGCGTGGGGATGGGGGGGGCGACGAGGAGGAGGACGAAGAGGAGGAGGAGGAGGAGGAGGAGGAGGAGGAGGAGGAGGAGGAGGAGGAGGAGGAAGAAAAAGAAGAAGAGGAGGAGGAGGAGGAGGGAGGAGGCAAGAGGAGCGAGGCGAGGAGAAGGAGTACGAGGATGAGGAGGACGAGGACTAAGAGGGTCAGGAGGCGGAGGATGAGGAAGGGGAGGAGGAGGAGGAGGAGGAGGAGGAGGAGGAGGAGGAGGAAGAGGAGAAGGAGGAGGAGGAGGAGGAAGGAGAGGGGGAGGAGGTGGAGGTGGAGGAGGAGTAAGAGGACGAGGGGATTTGTTTTTGAGCTCAACGCCCGACTCCTCTGCAGGCCTGCTAGCAGCAGGCTTAAACTCGTGCCGCAATAGAGGGAAGTGCGGCAGAGCTAAGAAAATCTAGAGGGCCCACCGCCGTACCTGTTGAAGGAGGCTGGGGCGCTCTTCGAAAATCAAATCAAGGATTAAAGCACCGTGTCAGGTTGTTCGTTTCCACCTTGACGCCGAGCTTCTGTTTGCTCTAATGCGGGTGGCGGCCCTTGCACAGAGCCTCACACCCATAGTGAGCAGCCCGGGAGGGAGTGGGTTCACAGAGCGCCCCGAGACCCCGAAGCGAAGCCCACTCGAATGGCACTTGCAGCGCGTGCAAATGATCAGAACCGAGCCGTCTGAGCCGTCCGAGCAATCCAACGCAATGGTGCAATGCTCGAGCTGATCCTGCCTGGCAGCGTGGAGCTTTGAAAACTCAGAGCACCTGCCTGGCGCAGGGCGCTCCGAAGCTCGTGAGCCCCGCAGGCAGACGGCACAACGCCACATGCCAGACCAACGCTCCCATCCGTGGCCAGGTCCTTGAGAAACAGGAAGGTACGGAACCCGTTCCGCCGAAGACAAATCGATGTCTGGCCACAGGTGGAGCAGATTGGCGGCGAGCGCAAGAGTAGCACGAGCTTGCTTGACAAGCATGTGCGCCGCCTCCAGCTTGTCGGGGTCTCTCGGGTGGAGATCGACAGCCAGCTTCGCACTGATGTCGGCGTGATGGTTGCCCATGCGCCTCCAGTGTTCGGATACGTCGATCCCGGCCTCTTTGATACCGCGATGGGCGGCGACTTTGAAACACGGCGCTGGTTTAGCACCCTGTGCGAAAATCTGCAGGAAGGCACCCGAGTAAACTCGCTTGCCCGACAATTGCTCGTCCTCGAGAACAACACGCTAGCTTGACCACATTTTCGCAATCCGAATATACAGAAATGCGATCAGAGGCCAAAACATTCGCCCAAGTGTAACAGCTAAACTCTGCACTCTGGGGTGTCTGGGGATACGGAGCCCAGACAGGAGCACGAAATTCCGCGATGCGATCACCAGCATCGTCAACCATGATGACGCTTTTGGCAGCTCTACTGAGCTCCCGGATGGGATGCCTGGCACACGAGCCGTCAACGAAGAGGCTTCCCCACAACTCGGTGCCGGGGCGCTGCCCATTCGATTTCACGATATCTTCCCGGTGCCACACAAGGACAGGAGCATCGTCGAACTCCGTGAGGGGACGGGGGTAGGAGTCGGCAGGATGGCGAAAAGCCCCGGAGATGAAAACGAGGACGTCGTCCCCGGCCGCCTTAGTTGCCAAAGTTGCTTCGACGATGCTGGCGTCCACTATCTCAGCGCGAAGCTCAGCGGCAGGCCCATGGGAGCACCCCCAGAGCCGGTGGAAGATGGTGTCCTTGCAGCTGCAAAAAGGATAAGAGTCTTCGACAAGATATCCCAGATATTTTGCCCGTAACACGGTGAAAAAGGCTTCGGTAGCAAAAGCCCGAATCCTAGCCTTTTGTAAGGCCGTGTATTTCTTGCGATGCAACGCCTCGCGGACGATGTCATAGCAGACCCGAGGAAGCCCCCCCCGCTTTTCCCCGGAATCTCTTTCCAGCATTCTGAAATAGCCGTCCTTGGCCAGGAGCCTAGTGAGGGCCGGGGAGGATTCCAAGGGGGAGGCTAAGGCCACGATCATCGATCAACGTCATGACGTTTTTCGTGCGCCACCCCAGGCGAACCAAGGACATACGCAAGGCGCTGATGGGGCCCGCAACCTGCCTCCAAGAGCAGGCGGGCTTACCGAACACCGACTCCCAAGCCTGCCTCAAGGTGGGGAGGGGGGTGGCCCATTGGTAGGCAGACGTCTGGCTAAGCCAAATCTCCTTGGCCCAGCGCAGGATTGGAGAAACAGCAGTGCGCCACGTGGGGTCGTCACCTAAAATGGCGGCCGTTGTTGATGACTGGAGCTGCGAGCACGGCCTGACACATGAGAGAATATTCCGCCAGAGGAGCAAGAGGTCTCGATCGCTCGTGCCCGTGACCTCGGACCCGTAGAACGCCCCCGCGAAAGGCCCAGACGAGAAGACCCTGAGCACCGCAGACTTATTGAGCACACGATGTTGCTTTTCAAGCCGGCGAGCACAGCGAACAGCTTTCGCCAATCAAGCTTTCATCTTGGCCGACCGGCCAACAACCCTAACAGCACGGCTGGCCGTATAGTCAACAAGATTGACCGCTCTGTCCGTGAACTTACCTCCGAGAGCCTGCAGCTGCGACGAGATGTGGTCACCTAGCTCCTTTGAGGACGCCACAATAGCGGTCTTGTCCAAAGCGATAGAACAACCGAAAACCTTCTCGACCACTAACTGCAGCTCCCGGGCTCCGCTGATGACCGCCTTGGACACCCGATGTGGCATGTCGGTGCACGCAAGCCCTTGGTCATCAG